GTTAGCATTAGCGCTTTTCTTTCTTCTTTCTTTCTTTCTTTCTTTCTTTCTTTCTTTCTTTCTTTCTTTTTTTTGTCAAAAACATTGAGATAGAAACTTGATGCGATCAATATAGATTCCAATAAACTTGGCCATTAATTAACTTCATTGCTATTCTTTTGTGAACAGCACAAAGCTTAATAAAAGCTGTAGAGAGTAATGGTGAATCACGACCCAGATGCTTGAATAATTTGCACACACTTTAGCGTAAAAATATGAAGAGGGAGGGGAAAAGGAATCATGAAAGCAAATAAGATCCCTTTTGTGTCTAGGTTTGTAGACAGACTCTCTCCCACGCGCCCTTTTCAGACAAATGCCCTTAGCGTGAACGGGAGCGGGTGATCCACCTCCTCACTGTGCCCAGAGAACATTCTCTCCTGCACAGTTCTGAGTATCACTTGTGTAGGCATCAAGTGTGATGTGAAAGAGAGAGACCAGTAAGCAGTTCTTTTTATTCTTTTCACTGATTTGCTGCTCCCTTCGCATTTGCCCCTCCTCCCTAGTCCAGGAGCCTACAGTGCAACTTCCTATTGTCTGAAGACCAGACACATATAAATTGCAATTTGAATGACAAGGGGAATTTTATTTTTATAGGATTTTATGCTTCCTTCAATAGAAATTGACGTGCTTTTATGCATTTTGTTTCACAACCTGTTTGAATTTATATTGGAATCTGCTTTCTGATTAAGTCTATTTGACTAGGCAAAGTCCCATCTGCATTCATTTGCACTCAGTATACGTAAGGAATGTGATCTCACACATTCTTTAAAAAATTGTTTTTCATAGTCTCTGAAGCTTATATGGGGAGAGGGGTCCACATTTTTTTCTTTCTTCAGACGTAAATCTCCTTATTCTCTTTTTAATTCCCGTAAAAAGTCGAGTGACATTCTTCAAAGAAGATATACAAATGGCTAATAGGCACATGAACAGATGTTCAACATCACTAATCATTAGGGAAATGCAAATCAAAAGCACAATGAGATACCACTTCGCACCCAAAAGGATAGCTATTATTTAAAAAAAATATATAGAAAATAACATGTTAGCAAAGATGTAGAGAGGTTGGAAACTGCATTGCTGGTGGGAACATCAAATGGAGCAAGTGCTGTGGAAAACTATATGGTGGTCCTTCAAGAAAAATTAAGCCTGGAATAACCACGTGATCCAACAAGTCTATTTTTTAGGATTTTTCTACCCGAAAGAGTGGGAAACGGAGACATCTGTACATACAATGTACATGTGTACATCAATGTTCATAGTGGAATTACTTGAAACAGCCAAAGATGGAAGCAACCAAGTGTCCATTGGCAAATGTGTAGATAAAGAACATAGGGTTCACGCATACAATGGAATACGTTATTTAGCCTGAATGTTGTTATTCAGCCTTAACTCTCTGGTGCCCAGAGCCTGACACACGCTACGACATGGATGAACCCTGGCAGACACTGTGCTAAGTGGCAAAAGCCAGACACAAAAAGGCAAATCCTATGTGATCAACTTGTAGGTGGTTCCTAGAGGAGTAAAACTGATACAGACAGAAAGTAGATTCTACTTTTACTCTTTTTAGTTTATTTCTAAATCATCCCCATGTCCTTCTCTTTGCTTTTTTGTCAAATTCAGTTAGCATTATCTCATTTTTGTCATCCACTCTGTGGTTTGCCTACTGCTGGTCACGAGACATGCTCCAAAGATGAAGACTGGACCCCAGTCCTGGAAGGACTCATGACAGCTGGGGCCTGGGGGAGGGAGGACGGAGAGTCCTCGTATGATGTAGCTGGGGTCTGGGGGAGGGAGGATGGAGAGTCCTCGTATGATGTAGTATGGAGTTTCAGTTCGGTCAGATGTGCAAGTTCTGGAGATGGATGGCGGTGATGCTTTTACAACCACGTGAATGTATTTAATGCCACTGAGCTGTGCACTTAAAAATGACTAAAATGGTGTGTTATATGTCATGTTAATGTTATGCATATTTTGCTGCAACTTAAAAAATGAAAATAAGTCAAACTGTAGTTAACACTACAGTATTAGTAGTATTACTACTAAATTTTAGTATTTAGTAGTATTTAGTAATATTACTACTAAATACTATTAATATTTAGTATTAGTATTTAGTATTAGTCTTTAGCATTACTACTAAATACTATTAGTAGTATTACTACTAAACTTTAGTATTACTACTAAAACTTACATGCTTTTCCCCAGTGTTACTTTTTCCTCATTTTGAGGGATTTTCTCTCGTTTCCCCACCTTTGATCCAGCTCCCTCGCTCCGCCTTCATCCTGCTTGCACTCCTCTCCATCGTCCTCATTTACAAGACTCTCTTTAATGACAGATTCGAACAGGATCAATGATCCCCCGAAGGTATTTGAGCCAATATGATAGCTCTCCCTGGTGTATTTTCATTTTAAGCCTTCAGTTGAGAATGTCAGGTGGTGTTTCCCGTCGAGGAATACCTTCAGGGGACCCTAACATCTTCAAAGCTCGGGCACTTGTGCCCCCGCAGAAGACTGATGTTCTGGTGGCAGATTCAGTCGAGAAGGTGGAAGTCATTGTAGGTATTTGGAGCAAAGAAGGATTTCATATGGGGAGTAAAGTTTCCAAGTTGTTGGAAGGGAAGGAGTGAAAGTGGGGGGGTTGGAGGAGTCACATGCCCCTGGGGCCCAGCACAGCAGTCGGCCCCCCAGCCTCACGGCACCCCCTGGGCCCACAGGCCTTGCCCCCCTACGGCCTCCATCCTGCCCTGTGGGACCCTGCTGCTGCTAGGGCCACCTCTACCATTGTTCTTAGACTTCTGCCATGCAAGCTGGAGCCAAAAATAGGATCCCTGCTCTCATGCCTGTGCCTGGCATGGGTGGCATCTGAACTGGAACCACGCCGGCAGGGGGGTCTGAGAGCCACAGTTCGCAGGTTTCTAGCCCTTGTGATTTGGGGAGCGTAGAAAGGTAGGTCCTGAGAACCGCAGGCACGCCCCAGCATGGACGTGGCATTGTGTGTCCTGAGCACCTTCACATGCCCGGCTGAGCCCTGCGTGAGGAGGGGCCTCGGGCTCCTGGACCCTGAGATCTTAGGCGGGGACAGCAACAGCCATCTGGAAGCCCCTCAGGAAGCCAAGCCATACTTCAAACCTCCCATCAACAAGCCTGTGAGGTAGGTTTCCTCACTTCCATTCTACAGATGAAGAAACTGGAGGGGGGGTGGGAGGGAAGGAGACTGGGGGCTACAGGTACGCAGCCAATGAATGGGGGAGGTAGGGTTCAAACCCAGGTGGCAGCAACTCCTCTCACAACTAACTCTGGGAGCTTCCATTTCCATCTCCCAGGCTTGCTGGGCTTTGATGAGAGGCTGGATGCGTCTATTCCTTAGCCTTGGGCCTGAGGCCTTCCCCTCTCTCCGGGTCCTGTGGAGAGCATGTGTGGAGTGGTCTGTCTCCTCAGCGCTGAAACCCCCCACGGGCTCTGCCCAGAGCGCGGGCTGCTCGCTCCATGTCTCCTGATCTGGCAAATGGACCTAGATCTGGACCAAAGGGGGAGGTCAGAAGAGTTGAATTGTTTCCTCCACTGGGTAACTTTGCCCTCTTCCCCCCTGCACTAGTTTCCAATGGCTGCTGTAATCGATTGCCCCAATCATGGTGGCTTAATACCGATAGAAATGGATTGTGTCACAGCTCTGGAGGCCCGAAGTCTGCAATCAAGGTGGCAGCAGGACCACGCACCCTCCGGAGGCTCTAGGGGAGAATCCTTCCTTGCCTCTTCCAGGTTTGGAGGGTCCAGGCCTTCCTTTGCTTAAAGCCATGTGACTCCAATCTCTACCACCACCTCACATGGACTTCTCTTCTGCATGACTCTTTAATCTCCCTTGGCCTCACTCTTGTGATGGCCTCATTCTGTGATGTCCCCCAGTCGAGCTGGGACAGTGATCTCCTCATCTCAAGATCCTTAACTTAGCCATGTCCACAAAGACCCTTTTCCCAAATAAGGTAAGATGCACGTGTCCTGGGGATTGGGATGTGGCCATATGTTTGAGGACACTGTTCAGCCCACTCTACCCGTCCCAAGGGAGGAAGGAAAAGCAAAGAGATATTTGCTCAGATCTGAGCCCTTCTCCTTCATTCTGTAGCATCTTTCTTCCAGTACCTCCAGCCAGTACATGGAAAAAATCAGAAATCTTGATGCACACACTAAACAGGTGGATATTTCCAGTTGCAGCTCTGTGGTCCTCTCTGGTTGGGCACAGTTAATAGACTCGATCAGGCCTTATTTCCAGTTCGGGCCAAACAACACCCCCATCAGCTCCATTGTCAAAAATTCACCCATGGTCCTCACCTCAAAGAGACTATTCATATTAGGCTCCCCCCTGATACTCTGGCCTACAAAAAAACAAAAACAACAAACAAACAAACAAACAAACACAAGAGAGCCTTTTACAGCTAATTTATTCTTCTCTGGTTTCTTTTTCCCGGACTTTTATTTCATCAAAAACTTCTTCAGTACTCCGTGATTTCTGAATTGTGTCACATAAATCCAAGCTTTCTGTTTCTTTCATCCCAGATTGCCCTGCCTTGCCCACCACCCCCAACATTCACCACATTTGCACTTTGCCCTGGTTTCCCGGGCTGTCATAAATAAAAGCATAAAACACAAGCGTCAGACAGCTCGGTGATATGCTACTGGCCCAGAAGAGAGGAGGTGATTGCTCTTAATTCTCACACAGAAATTGGTGGGACGGGGGTGGGGGTGGGGTGGGGGTCTCCACCCTGACTCTCTGAAAGCTCAGTGGAAAGATGAGCAGCAGGCTCAGCTCTCCGCTGTCACCACCTGGAGCAAAGGACAGGAGGCGGTCGGTCTACCTCTCCCTATGTGGGGTTGATTCCATGTGCAACAAGATCTTCCGGTTCTCACAGGTTGGCTCCCAAGCTGAAGTAGGGGTTCTTTGCTCTGTTCACCCTTTGGTAGATGCTGCCCTTCACTCTCCACTGGGGAGCTGGTCTTCTGATTCTCGTCCAGTCTTTGACCACCATTTGAAGAGCTTCCATTCGTGTAGCACTTCTAATTTTACAGAACTTGGCAACAGATTATTTGATCCTGACAACAAGTCAGTGGAGCAGTTAGCGGGATATTGCTGCTCTCGCTTTACAGATTAAGAGACTGTGGCTATGTGACCTGTACCAGGTCACCAACCTCTAAATGGCAAAGTGACCTGTAAGTGGGACCCCAGCACAGGAAGTCTGGTTATGAATGCAGTTTGCTTTCTGCTCCTGGCCTTTTCTTCTTACTCTTTTTTCTCTTTCTCTTTTTCCTTTCCCTCTTTCTTTTTTCATCTTCTCTATGCCCTCTAACTCAGTTCTCTACTATTCATCTTCTTCTCTATCGTGATTATTTCTGCCATTTTCCTAGACCTGAGTTTCTTTCTTTCTTTTTTTTTTTTTTTAAAGATTTTACTTATTTATTCATGAGAGACACATAAAGAGAGGCAGAGACATAGGCAGAGGGCTTCCCACAGGGAGCTTGATGTGGAACTCAATCCCAGGATCCTGGGATCTCGCCCTGAGCCGAAGGCAGATGCTCAACCACTGAGCCACCCAGGTGTCCCTAGACCTGAGTTTCTATACTGTATGATATATATATTTACATATAGATGTGTCTATATATGTATATATATTTACATGTAAATATATATAAATATATATAACATATATAAAAATATATAAAGCTCAGTGGAAAGATGAGCAGCAGGCTCAGCTCTCTGCTGTTGCCACCTGACCTGGAGCAAAGGACAGGAGACAGTCGGTCTACCTCTCCCTATGTGGGGTTGATTCCATGTGCAACAAGTTCTGGTTCTCACAGATTGGCTCCCAAGCTGAAGTAGGGGTTCTATTTACATGTAAATATATATATATATATATATATATATATATATATATATATATATAGAGAGAGAGAGAGAGAGAGAGAGAGAGAGAGAGAGAGAAAAGGAGAGAGAGTAACTAATGATCTGACACTTGGTTGGTAGTCAGGAGACATTTTCTTTCTCTTTTTCAATAGTGTGGACACATGGCTGAGAGTGCACACTTTGCCCCCCATTCACCTGTGTCATCATTATCATAGAGCTGTTGGGTTTGATTTAACAGGAGACCCTGGCTGTGCATCTGTGACTATGAGCCGTGGCCAAATGAGAAGAGCCTCATAGATGCGGCTGGAGTGATTAATAGCAGCCTGTCTCCAGAGCTCTGAGAGCGGTGAGTGAGACGCATCGCCCTGATTCCACTTCTAATTCTGCATTGTCATGGGCGTCTGTTTGGCCAAGTGGAGGCCCTGTGTCCACAGCACAGCATCTGGTGCAAGCCCTGGATTTCCTGGGTCACCAAGACAGATTCTCCGAGTGGAAGAGAAAAACATACGGGGTAGTGGTATTTATCCAGAGAAGGGTGTGCACGCAGGGTGCACGTCCAGCCCGACTTGCATCCCCGGCTGATCTCCTCGCTGGACAGAGCGTGAGCCACACAGGGCGCGGGAGAGCCATGCCTGTGCAGGTTTTGCCCCCCATTCCTGCAGTGCCATTATCTTGTGCTTTCCCAGTGAGAGAAATTCATCATTGGGACAGCAGGCCTGTGCGTGGGAGAGCCCGAGATAGGACTCGTCTTCAGACGTTCCAGTTACTGACCTTTAGCCATCTTCTGCGAATGAGCTAGTGTTATTTTGCAAAGCCGGGTACTTACCTGCTTCTCTCCTGCAGATCTCTAACTGCCCCATCATAAGGAGGCTTAGACAGAAAAAAATCTTGGGCTGTGTCATCATTACCGACTGAAATTAGGATTTTCTTCCCCCACTTACACGTCCTGAACATTGTTGTCAGGCTGGAAATAAATCTCGAGGCAGAGCATCCCCTGATTCCATTCAAGGGGGACACAACAGTGACTGTCTCATTCTTTCCCGAGCCAGTTGCCAGTTTCTTACACACGATTTCCGGGGCTGCGACGGGCCAGGAAGCAGGAAGCTGGGGTCCCCGTCTGCTGGGCCAGTGTCCCTGATCTCAGCCTCCCTCTGCAGTTGGAGAAAACCCACGGTTCCTATTTGAAATTGGATAGCTGGATGATGTTTTTCTTGGCTCCAACTCTAAAGGCTGGTGCCCAGAGCCAATCCTTGGCAAGAGTGACAAGTATGAAGTTTGTTTTTCCCTCAGACACTCCCAGCATCCTTCTTCCTCCTCTTTGCTCCTGTTCCTTTCCAAGTGCCCAGGACTTTGTTCCTGTTGTACCTCATCCACATGTGGAGTCTGAAAGGATCTGAGGCACAGTTTCTGCATGTGCAGAGCAGTGCCTCATGACTTCAAAGTGTGGGCAAGTCTCCCACATTGTTAACTTGCGTGTTCTGGCTCAGCAGCTCTTGAGTGGGCTCGGAGGTTCTGCACGTCTAACAAGCTCCCCATGACGCCGACAGGGCTGGTCCGTGGACCACACTCTGAGTACGCGTGGGAATAAACCTCCAGTCTTCCTCCCGTGTTTCTTCCTTACCCTGACACGACGATCACACTGACAATGCTTCTGACACCAGTTGTGTGGGTTTTCCCCACACCACTAAGCAGTTCTGCGATGCCAGCTGGTGTCCTACAGTTTAGCTCAATTCTGATGCTGTCTACCTGAAGATGGTGTCGTGTCCCCCAGGCTAGGAGCTCAGGCCCACAAGACTGTCCCCTCTCCCCACTTGAGATGCCAATCACAAGTAGTGGGTTTCCGGGTTAGCCACAAGTTCTGTCCAACTTGACTACAGACTGGAGATTCCCATGACCTCCTCCCCTTCGGATTCAACACTCTGCTAGAACAGCTCACAGAACTCAAGGAAACACTTACTTAAGTTTTCCAGTTTATTAAAGGATTGCTAAAGGATATGAATGAACAGCCAGATGAAGAGATACAGAAGGTGAAGTCTGGGAACTTCTGGAGTGCAGGAGTTTCTGTCTCTGGGAAGCTGGGAGTGTATCACCCTCCTGGTACATAGATGTGTTCACCCACTTGGAAGATCTCCGAACCCCACGCTTTTGGGTTTTTATGGAGGCTTCATTACATAGACATGATCAGTTATTAACCCCATTTCCAGCCATCCCCCTTTCTGAAGAATGGAGGATGGGGCTGAAAATCCCAAGCTTCTAATCACACCTTGATCTCTGCCGACCAACCCCCATCCAGGAGCCCACCCAGAGTCACCTCACTAGAACAAGAGATGCTCCTCATGCTCTTGTTACTAAGGGATTTATAAGGGTTTTGGGAGCTCCTGTCAGGAACTTTGGGCAGATATATAAATTTCTTATAATTCTACAAGGAGCAAAGTCTTAAACCAACCCTAAGAGAAGAGAACAGGAATGGAAAAGTTTTCTCCTTTCCTTTCTGGTTTAGGGAAGTGTGTGTGTGTGTGTGTGTGTGTGTGTGTGTGTGTGCATGCAGTTCTCGTATTTCCTGGTCATTAGGTAAATCTTTGTGTTCTCTTTAGATCCTGTACAGTAATTGGTTTGCTTGATCAGAATTTTAAAATTAATTGCTCAGGTCGGTTCTCATTGATTTATACCCACGATGAATTTTTACCTTCAGAAATTTTTCTCAGAATACCCTGATCTCTGCTTTTGGTAAACATCAATCAAATTTAAATTAAGTTCCTTACAAATTTTGTTTCTCCTGTGTGTTCTAGGGGCAGGAGCGGGTAGGGAGCAGTCCAGAGATGGGGCCAGAGAAGATGGCCCAGCTGATGTCTACGTCTTACCCACCACTGTGAGTCAACACGTCCAGTGAACTGCCAGGGAAATGATTTGCCTGAGAAACAAAAGAGCCTGAAGATGGGAACTCATTTTAGAGGGCAGAACCCAGCCAATAAGCCAGACCCAGAACCAGAACCTTAATTCTCAGTAATACAGATGAGTCCTCATCCCAGCCTTTTACTGACTCAGTATTCAGGTCATTGGAGAGAGAAGACTGTGAGCAAACATAAAAAGCTGTTTTCATGAATTATTCTCTAAGAGATCAACTTGCTTAGGGACCCCTTCCCAGAATGGAATGCATAAAGGAGGAAGTCAACCTCAGGATCTCGAGGGGATCCCTGCCGTCCTAGCAGGGGTACCCCGGAGGTGGGGCAGTGCCTGCAGCGGGTGGTGGAAGTGCCCGCAGAGGTAGTGGCAATGCCTGTGCGGGTTAGGAGTACCCTGCCTGGAGCCCAGGAGAGCAGCAAGGGCAGGAGAGAGGGGAACAGAGTGGAGACGACACAATGGACTCATTGGGGAGATGAGCGATTTTAGTCTTGATCATATGGGAGAAACTCTCTGGAACCTTCCAAGAATATTGGGAGAAGTGCTGGTGAACAGGGATTTGGCTGGAGGCCAAGGCTCTGCCCAACAGGAACAAAAGTCCAAGGGCCACTAACCAAATTTATTCAAAACCCCACATGTTTCTGCCTCCACTGTGCCATCTATAAAACCAGAACCTAAGACATGATGAGTGGTTGGGGTCTACACTCATGCTTTTTTCAGAGCAGCTCTGTTATTGTCTGTTCTTTTTTTACGGGGCATTCTGGTATGATTTCATTTGAAAAGGGAGTTCCTAAGCTCAAATCCCTGAACAGGGTGCTTTCCAAGGGCCCAGCCAGCATTAGGACCCTACAGCTCTTCGTCTATGAATAAGAAAGGAACAGTGGATGCTGTGATGAGGACTTCTGTGGAGCCAAGGCCAGGCCAGGGGAGGTTGTGGTCAGAAGAGATTCCCCAGAGTCTGAGCCATTCTTAGCTTAATGGCTCTACGTGTTGACAAAGTCAAATTCCCTGTAGGTCCTGAAGCCATCCAGGACAGTTGTGGCAGTGTTTAGGGCTGGGGGAAGATCCTAGGGACAGGAGCTGAAATCCCTGGAGAAAATGAGGGTGGGCAAAGCCCCAGACCTCATAGGCTATTTTTTTTTATTTTTATTTTTTTTAATAAATTAATTTTTATTGGTGTTCAATTTACCAACATACAGAATAACACCCAGTGCTCATCCCGTCAAGTGTCCCTCTCCGTGCCCGTCACCCATTCACCCCCACCCCCCGCCCTCCTCCCCTTCCACCACCCCTAGTTCATTTCCCAGAGTTAGGAGTCTTTATGTTCTGTGTCCCTTTCTGATATCTCCCACACATTTCTTCTCCCTTCCCTTATATTCCCCTTCACTATTATTCATATTCCCCAAATGAATGAGAACATACACTGTTTGTCCTTCTCCGATTGACTTACTTCACTCAGCATAATACCCTCCAGTTCCATCCACGTTGAAGCAAATGGTGGGTATTTGTCATTTCTAATGGCTGAGGAATATTCCATTGCATACATAAACCACATCTTCTTTATCCATTCATCTTTCGATGGACACCGAGGCTCCTTCCACAGTTTGGCTATTGTGGACATGGCTGCTAGAAACATCGGGGTGCAGGTGTCCCGGCGTTTCATTGCATCTGAATCTTTGGGGTAAATCCCTAACACTGCAATTGCTGGGTCGTAGGGCAGATCTATTTTTAATTCTTTGAGGAACCTCCACACAGTTTTCCAGAGTGGCTGCACCAGTTCACATTCCCACCAACAGTGTAAGAGGGTTCCCTTTTCTCCACATCCTCTCCAACATTTGTTGTTTCCTGCCTTGTTAATTTTCCCCATTCTCACTGGTGTGAGGTGGTATCTCATTGTGGTTTTGATTTGTATTTCCCTGATGGCAAGTGATGCAGAGCATTTTCTCATGTGCATGTTGGCCATGTCTCTGTCCTCCTCTGTGAGATTTCTCTTCATGTCTTTTGCCCATTTCATGATTGGATTGTTTGTTTCTTTGGTGTTGAGTTTAATAAGTTCTTTATAGATTTTGGAAACTAGCCCTTTATCTGATATGTTATTTGCAAATATCTTCTCCCATTCTGTAGGTTGTCTTTGAGTTTTGTTGACTGTATCCTTTGCTGTGCAAAAGCTTCTTATCTTGATGAAGTCCCAATAGTTCATTTTTGCTTTTGTTTCTTTTGCTTTTGTGGATGTATCTTGCAAGAAGTTACTGTGGCCAAGTTCAAAAAGGGTGTTGCCTGTGTTCTCCTCTAGGATTTTGATGGAGTCTTGTGTCACATTTAAATCTTTCATCCATTTTGAGTTTATCTTTGTGTATGGTGCAAGAGAGTGGTCTAGTTTCATTCTTCTGCATGTGGATGACCAGTTTTCCCAGCACCATTTATTGAAGAGACTGTCTTTCTTCCAGTGGATCGTCTTTCCTCCTTTGTCGAATATTAGTTGACCATAAAGTTCAGGGTCCATTTCTGGGTTCTCTATTCTGTTCCATTGGTCTATGTGTCTGTTTTTGTGCCAGTACCACACTGTCTTGATGACCACAGCTTTGTAGTACAACCTGAAATCTGGCATTGTGATGCCCCCAGATATGGTTTTCCTTTTTAAAATTCCTCTGGCTATTCGGGGTCTTTTCTGATTCCACACAAATCTTAAAATAATTTGTTCTAAGTCTCTGAAGAAAGTCCATGGTATTTTGATAGGGATTGCATTGAACGTGTAAATTGCCCTGGGTAACATTGACATTTTCACAATATTAATTCTGCCAATCCATGAGCATGGAATATTTTTCCATCTCTTTGTGTCTTCCTCAATTTCTTTCAGAAGTGTTCTATAGTTTTTAGGGTATAGATCCTTTACCTCTTTGGTTAGGTTTATTCCTAGGTATCTTATGCTTTTGGGTGCAATTGTAAATGGGATTGACTCCTTAATTTCTCTTTCTTCAGTCTCATTGTTAGTGTATAGAAATGCCATTGATTTCTGGGCATTGATTTTGTATCCTGCCACGCTACCAAATTGCTGTATGAGTTCTAGCAATCTTGGGGTGGAGGCTTTTGGGTTTTCTATGTAGAGTATCATGTCATCGGCGAAGAGGGAGAGTTTGACTTCTTCTTTGTCATAGGCTATTTTAAACCAAGAATTAAAAAGCTCTTGTTAGGATGGGGGGAGAGGGTAATAGGGTGAGGGGCATAAAGGAGGGCACGTGATGTAATGAGCTTTGGGTGTTATATACAACAGATGAATCACTGAATGCTACCTTTGAGATTAATAATACACTATATATTAATTAATTGAATTAAAAAAAAACAAAGCTCTTGCTCACATTCTTAACTTTGCAGTGTTCAAATTCAGGCCTCATTGCCAGCTGGCCTCAGAAGCTCTGAATGTCCCCAGGGAAGGAGACCATTTCTAAATTAACAAGGATCCAAATCAGAGAACTTATTCCACCATGATTGAAATGTCCCGAGTAATAGGATTTTGGATAAATTAGTTATTCATCATGGAAGAGGTATTATAGATAAATACCATACCTCATTGCTATTCCAAGCTGTCCACCAGTCATCTCCTTTAAGGAGAAAAATAGAAGAATTAACGTGGTTCTGAGCAGTGATCTGCCTAATGATTTCAAGGTTTTTATCTGGAGAGGATTTCAATAAACTAAAAGAAGTGGAAGCCAAAAAAAAAAAAAACAGAAAACAAAAAACAAAAAAAGTGTGTGAAGGGCTTGTATAATTGCTGAGAGGTTGGTTCTCTAGGGCTAGAAATCAACGAAAAGGGTGAATGTTATGGAAAGATTTTTAAGTAGTTATTCAGGAGAAACTAAATAGAAAATCAATCAGGAAAATAAAAAATTCATAAATCCAATTGCTTCTAATTGGCTCTGAACATAGTGAAGAATTCAAAATGTTTGCCTATGAACAGCTCTGTCTCTTGAAATTATGATTCTTATCACAGGAAAGAGCATTTGGGTTACTTTTTTTTTCCCCCATCAAAGAAAATTCATGAAGGCCAAAGCAATCTTGCAAATGGCTCAAGATGAAAAACTCTTCATTATGGCTATTTATGGAGAAGTTTCTACTACAGATTTACTCGAGCTAGGATGAATATATTTTCATTTCAAGTCTTTAAATGTTTATGAAGCCCCTACTATGTACACAGGACTGAGTTGGGCCCTGTGGGAGATGCACAAACCGATGAGCTGGGATTCCTGAGAATTTACAATTTCAAAGAGGAAACAGATGAACACCCAATTAACTTTAGGACCAGTATTAAGGCAACAAGGGTGTAATAATGGAAATATCACCCCACAGTATGGTGAGAGAGAGGGGCACAAATGGTTTCTGACAAAGGAGATCTACAAAGGTTTCTTAAAAGAGACAAAATAAGAATTGAGAAGGTACTTTGCACAGAACACTTTGAACAAACGTCCAGTGGAAATGTGAGCTAGGCTAGCGGACCACAGAGTGTTTTACCATAACTTGGTACAAGGTAAAGTTCTGAAGAATATGGTATTTATATTTAGCACTGTATTCTCTCCCTCTCCATCTCAAACTTTGGTGGGCAGCCATAAATTGTATCCTTTCTCTCATTTCTCATTTCTTGGGTGAAAATTTCCCAATTAACATATACACTCTTAAATGTTACTGACTTAATAAGTTACTCCTCCCGAGGAGTATTTGCTTTTTAAAACAATTTTAATTTTTTATTATGTATTTGTTGAAAGCGTAGAAGAACTCAAGATATGGAAGTATTCGTGATTTAAACAGCAAGAATGACTTTAAGAAGATTCTGGTCCCCTTTTTCTTATCGTGAGCATTTTCAACATTCCAAAGTTTGCTCAGTGTTTGTTTTTAAAATGAGAGCATGGGGAAAGAATCACATTCTCTTCCAAGGTATTATTTTTCCTCTGGTGGAGGAATTTCAGGCATCTGGGTGAAAATGGTATTTTCAGGTGGGAAGATTTACGTAAGATGGCCTCTCTGGGGGTTACCTTAGTATTGTGGTATAAGCACATGTTTTCCAGACAGAAACTCCTGCGTTTCAATTCCAGCTATGCCTCTTGGAATGTTGAGTCTGGGGCAGGCTCGTTCCTCAGAGACTGGACTTCTACCTGGGCAAACTGGGAGTGATCTCTGGCCATTATCAAGTCCAGAGTGGGATACAACATCCCTGCAAATCACAGTAGCAAAGTCATCCCTATACAGGTAGAGCAGAATGAGGGGCCAAGGGAGCCCCCAGAAGAGGGGGCTGCAAGTGTAGGCCTCGGGGACCTCAGAAGAGCTCCTGTAGCCCTCTCCCACTGTCTTCCTGGGGCAAGTGTCTGTCCTAGCCTTCCTGTCCTAGCCAGTGTCTCCTAGCTGGGCTAGTCATCTTTCAGATCTCAGAGGAACGTTATTTCTTCCAGGAGGCTTTCTCTCATCTTCCAGACTCAGTCTCTTCTCACTCCTATGACAACTTCTAATTTACTGACATTTAGTGTCTACATTCCTTGTTTGACTGGAAGATTCATGAGCCTAAGTATCAGATCAGTATGGTTTACCTAACGCCTGGCCCACGGTAGATGGCCTTAAGTATTCTTTGGTGAATTAAGAAAGGAAAGGGCAAAGGAAAGAAGGAAGGAAGGAGGGAGGGAAGGAAGGAAGGAAGGAAGGAAGGAAGGAAGGAAGGAAGGAAGGAAGGATCCTCTTAAAATTCATTCTATTAAAATCAAACCATCTAGAGGACTAGAGGAGAGTGTGTTCAGGCAGCCACTGAGGAAGAGTTAGGAGTAACTCCTATTAATATGCTATGATCTTTCTGAGAGAACAAAAGGCAGCACTGGGGCCCACTCATTCTTACATATGTCAGCTTTGCTTTCAGTGCTATTCTTGCTAATGTTTAAATGCCAACCTCATGACCCTGGGGCCTCGTGAACTGCACATGATAAATTCCCATGAACTGACACTCTTCTACTGCTCAGCAGAGAACTTCATAATGTCTTTTACCTGCTTTGTAAACTGGACCTCCTTTTAAGTACAGTCGAT